TAAAGGGTTCCTTTATAAAGGGTTCTATAAGGGATCTACTAGAAGGATTTAGGGTTTAGGGGCCTTCATAATTAAAATAAGGCTTTTGGGGTATAGGTTTCCTTCAAAACGGGTGGGTATAGGTTTCCTTCAAAACGGGTCTATAAGGGTTACTATACGGGTTCTGCAGGGGCCTTAAGAATTAGAACAGGGTTTTGGGGTATACGATACTATAATAACTATAGTCCTAAACCCTAAGTGGCCCTAAACCCTAAACCCGTAAACCCCTAAACAACTAATCCCTAACCCTAAACCCTTCTTTTTCTGTTTAAATCAGCGCTTTTCTTGTTCTTCATGGGTTTAGGCTTTAGCGTGTCGCTTTTTGGTTTCTTTTTCTTTTCAGCGGCTTGCTAGCTTTGTTACGTAGCTGTATGTTGGGGGTGCACTCTCTTCAACTGTTTTCTCGAAATAGATCCTTCAGCGCTGTATCGCGTTTCGCGTTTCAACAACGTTCCATATCGTCAGCTTGGGATTTTAGGTTCACACATTTTCTTCGAAAGTTTACGGTGGATTTTTAATCAAGCTAAGCCCACAATCTTGAAACCACAGAACTATTATAAACTGTAGAAGATTGGAACGCAAGGTCTAGAACTTTAAAGCCTGAGGGGTGTTTTGTATAGAACCCGAAACCCCGAGCGCAAGCATCCGGAATAGCATAAACTCAACACCCAGACTACCGGGAGGATCTAAGAAGTAGATGCCCTAATTTAGGACCCCATACTACTAAAGAATACTTCATAGGCACCCCCTTAAGGAATATGCTTTTTGGATCCTCCCGGGGGTCTGGACAGCTACCAAACAGGAGCTCCTGTTTGGCCAATGTATGTATTCTGTAAGGACTGTACATAGGCTTTAGGGCTTAGGGGTTTGGGGTTTAGGGGTCTAGGGTTTAGGGGTTTAGGGTTTGGGGTTTTAGGTTTTGGGGTTTAGGGCATTAGACTAGGCTTCTGCGGTGTATGCTAGTATAACCTTAACTAAACCCTAAACCCACACGCGCCCTAAGGAATTATGAAAGCAGTTCGTTAACCCCTGAAGTACTTCGAGAACTTAACCCCTCAGGGGTGACTCGAATTCCTCGAATCGTAGGTTTTGGGTTTAGGGTTCTAGGGTTTACTGTTTAGGGTTTTAGGGTTCAGTGCTTGCTGGTTTTAGGATCTAGAGTTTAGGTTTTAGGGCTTTTGGGTCTGAAATCCTTCGGGGTCTGGTGGCCTGCGCGGGGGCTTCGGATAAGCGCAGAAGCAACGAGCTGATCACGGTTTAGGGTTTAGGGTTTAGGGTAACGTCAAGAGCACACCTGCTTTTGTGGCTGAGTGGGTGGCCTTCAGCTTTGTTGGATGGATAACTTTTTTGCCGAGTTCATGAGCCCCAACAGGGGTAATATTATCCCAAAAACTGTAGAGTATGCTAATCCAGCTACTGAGGGACACGAAGGCCCTAAACCCCTACAGCCCAAACCCGAAAAGCCTGAAGCACCGAACTTGTTTTGCACGCAGCCACCACTGGAAGAAGCGTTGATCACCTGGGCTCTTGCTAAGGATCTTACTTCAAGTTACCACAATAAGGATCTAAAGTAAAAAGGATTCCCTCTTTGCGTTTTGTAGCTGGAGTTCATACTCCTTTACGCCCTGAGCCCTCAACAGGAACCCCCTGTTGGGATTAACACCTGCCCAGCCACAGGGCGTCCCCTCCGACTGGGCGACGGCATCGGAAGGGCTACCTGAGCTTTGAAATAACCAGGGTTTAGGGTTTAGGGGTTTAGTTTCACCCTAAACCCTAAAACCCTAAACCCTAAAACCCTAAAACACTAAACCCTAAGTTCTCTAAGCTTCTTTTCATATAGAACCAATCCAAAATCAGGCATCAGAATCCAGCTACCTGCCACGTAGGAGGAGCCCGACCAGCCTGATCCTCGGGGTCAATGGGTCCATGGCTTTGGGGTTTTTTGGGGTTTAGGGTTTAGGGCTTAGGGGGTTAAGGGTTTTGGGTTAGGGCTTAGGGTTTAGAGGGTTTTGGGTTAAGGCTTAGGGCTTTAGGGGCCTAAATAATTAGAATAGGGTTTTGGGTTACTTGGAGGTTCATGGGACTCAGAAAGTACGGCTATAAGTACCTTAGTTGTTCTTATAAGTATAATGACACTATTTATAACCCCTAGTTACTAAGTCCCATGAACCTTTAAGTAGGGCTTCGGGTTTTAGGGGCCTTGATAATTAGAATAGGGTTTGGGGGTATATTGTACTATAAGTATAATCAGGAACACCAAAATAGTATTGGCAATTATTTAGGCCCTTAATTTAGGGGTTTTAAGGGTCAGAGGGTTTGGGGTTCGCCCCAGACAAGGTTTGTAGATGTTTACAATGGAGGTTTGTAAGAAGTACCAAGAAGATCTACGGGCACTTACGTGGAGGTATATGGGGTAGCTAATGAGGGTTTATAGGCAGTTCAGCATAAAGGTTATAGGGGCCTTTTGTATGGTTGTAAAGGGTCTTACAATACAGGCTAACAGGGTTTATATTGAGGGTTCGTAGGGGTTCGCGGAAAGGTTCAGAAGGGCCTGTAATGAGTGTGGGTAGCGAGCGACCGTGGAAAAAAGCTGTGAAAATGCCCCTAACCCTAAAGATAGGAATTGGGCGAACTGAAAAACCGCTGTGAACCCTGACTGTATAAGGCCTTGAAACAAAGAGAGCTTCATTAAACTCTGTCTATAAACCTGCACTAAGCCCTCAACCTTCACAACATAAACCCTCATGCCGAGCAACGAAGACTGTGGTTCGTCACAGCGTAACCAACCTTGCGGAGGAGTCCCTTCACGACAGCGGACATTGATTCTCGATCATATACCTGGGTTGCTCTTTAAGTGGGAGTTAGGTTTATTTTGACCCTTGGAGATATACAGACCCCCTCAATAAGGTCCCGTTTAAGAGAGCCATAAGTAGGGTTAGGAAGGGTCCCAGTCTAGGGCCGTAAACACGGGCTCAGTAGCCGGGTTGTTGAGGTTGGGGTTGCAGGTTAGGGAGGCAACATACGCTCCTGAAGAAGTAGACTGGGGCTTTGGGGTATAATGTGTGAAATAAGGTTTAGGGTTTAGAGGACGTAGACTAGGGCTTCGGGGTATAATATGTGAGACTATATCATGGCCCACTGGTATGACTGATCTTTCTGACTCTTACATTATCCAAAAACGGAGTGAAGATATCCCACATTGCCAGCTAGATACTTGCACAAGCACGCAGCCCACGCGGCGATCCAGTAGGAGCTGCCTTGCGCCCTTTAGAACGGCCGGCTCCCAGGAGTTCACGAAGATGTGCAGCAGATCAACAGTCTCCTCCACGGTTTAGGGTTTAGAGTTTAGGGCTTAGGGTTTAGGGTTTAGGGGTTTAGGGGTTTAGGGTTTATGGGTTTAGGGTTTAGGGTCCTCCCGGCCCAGATGTGAGGCAATTTCATGATCCAGGGTAGAGCTTCTTGCAAGAATGCTTCCACGGGCCCCGGCTATGAAGCCTCCAACGGCGAATGATCCGAGCATCTTGGAACGCGTAGAACCCAGAGCCACATTCTTAAGCACCACCTGCGTGTTGTGGCTCCCAGAAGCAGCGATACCATTTATGCGTAGGGTCTCCTTGATTCGCTTCGCCCACTTGGGCAACCTTAGTTGCTGAGTTCATAAGCCCAGAAAAGTGTACACTTTCAGTTTTATAGAAGGTAATATTATGCCAAAACTGTAAAGTGTATCCACTCAGCTATTGAGCAACGCCTCGAATGCCAAACCCCTTAAGCGACCCTCGGGCACCAGGAACGCGGCCGACAGCATGCACTCCCCCAGGGCTGCCCCTGCGTCCACGTAAAAAAATGGCGCCTTTACATCAGAGCGCAGTAAGATGTCGGACACCTGTCTTAAAACGCCGAGCACAGAATTTTCACATCTTGCCAAGCACTCGCTGCGGATACTGTCGCTGAGGAAATCGCGGTCCGTGCCCACGTGAAAGACAGTCAAGTCTCTGGCGGCGCTCTGGTTGGCAGCATCAGCATGCACAGTTGCTGCAGCAAAGGCTTCCTCCACATCCCAGAATTTTGCGCAATGCCTAGCGATGCAGTGGCCACGATTCACAGGCGACTTCCAGGAAAGCAGCTTGGGGAAGCAAATGCTCACGCTGTCCGGCAGCAGCATGGTGTCCAGCAGCTGCCAGAACAAGGGCGACTGAAGGTCGATCAAGAATGATGCCACCACCTGCCACGCTACTATATGACATTATATTCATGTTATAGTACCTTGTATCAGTTATTACTATGCTGACTGCTATTCTGCTATAACATAATGACATATAACTAACATATCACATTATATTATCTTGCATTATATTACATTTCTTATGTTATGGTATGTTGTATTGTATTATACTGGATTATAAACTTTGTGTTGTGTTGTCTGTTTTATTCTATTATATCATACTATATTATTTTGTTCTACTGTATTATTCCCAAAAACCCCTCTGGAGTTGGGTTCTCTCGTTCAGAACGGTAAGCCGCGAGAGCGCGATGATGAAGCAGACGCTTCGGGAAGAGCAAACGAAGAGGAAGCCGTGTGCGGAGGGATCGCGGAGCCGACGGGTGTGGAACGAGCCGACGGGAGAGCCCGACGGGAGAGCAAATGAAAATGGTACACGGGCAGGGTGCACGGGTGCACGGGAAGGTGCAGGAAGTGGACAGGAAGGGACCGGGGCAGAGAGCGATAACGGTGCACAGGGACGGTGCACCGGCGAAGGGAAGGGGCGAAGAGCGATAACGGTACACGGGAACGGTGCACGGGTGCACGGGAAGGTGCAGGGAGGGGACCGGGGCAGAGAGCGATAACGGTGCACGGGGACGGTGCGCGGGTGTAGGGAAGGGGCAGAGAGCGATAACGGTACACGGGGCCAGGGAAGGGGCAGAGAGCCATAACAGTACACGGGAATGGTGCACAGGGGGACCAGGGCAGAGAGCGATCACGGTGCACGGGGACGGTGCACGGGACTAGGGAAGGGGCAGGGGCAGAGAGCGACGATAACGGTACACGGAAACGGTGCACGGGTGCACGGGAAGGTGCAGGGAGGGGACGGGGGCAGAGAGTGATAACGGCGCACGGTGTAGGGAAGGGGCAGGGGCAGAG